TATAATTTCTTTTTCACAACAAAATAGTCCTTTACTGATTTTCTTACTCCAATTAAAGTTTCCAAAATATTTCTAAGGTTTTTAGCTATATATTTATTTCTAAGTATTCTTATCCTCAATACTGCCAACAGTAGTTGACTCAGCTCAAAACAAAAACATCCCTTATAATATAAGATGTTTTCTTATTTTTATTTCTTTGAAACAGGGTTTCAAACTATGCAGTTCAGGCTGGCTTGAGCTTACTTTGTGGCCTAGCCTAGTCTGGTCTTGAACTCATAACAATCCTCCTGCCTCAGCCTCCCAAGTGCTGGGATTATAAGCACGCCCCACCACACCCATCTCAGAGGCCATGTTTCAAGAAGTGTTTAGAATCTTTTTTTTTTTTTTTGGCTGGTTCAGCCCACCCTGAGGATGGGATTGGAGTGATATGTGGTGCCGGAACTGGGGTCCCCTGTACCTACCTAAGCAGGAGCTTTAGACTGCTGAGCTATCTCATGGGCCCTAGAATAATTTTCACTGATAGTTTATAACTTGATTTTGAAAGCAGTATCAAAATATGATGGTCATATAGGCTGAAAAGTAGCATCACTGGGAAAAACATGTGATATGTTAGGAAAATTCATTTTATTTTTTAAATTTTTTTTAACATTTATTTATTTATTTATTTATTTTTTTAGTGTGTGTGTGTGTGTGTGTGTGTGTGGCCAGCTCAGCCCACCAGGGGGCGCGGCTGGCTGGCATGTGGTGCTGGGGGATTGAACCGCGGTCCCTGTGCTTTGCCAAGCTTGTTCCAAGTAGGTGCTTTAGACCACTGAGCCATCTCTCCAGCCCCGAAAATTCATTTTAAAGAAAGAAAATAAATGCTTATGTAGAGTCCAGGTCATGCTAGGCATTAAGCAGTACATTGTTGACATTGTTATTTCAGGGTCACATAGTTAACACATGGTGGTGTGAGTCTGAGATCATCTGAGAGGTATACTTCAAATTTACTTTATATTAAAGGAAGTACTATATAACTGTATTCATCTAGCCATCTTGTTTGGAACAGATTTAGTGGAAGCATTCTGTAGCTGTAAACCCCAATTGACCCTAGTAACAAGTGCTGAGTTTACTGGACCCAAAAACTGGGCAGAAAATAAAAGTCTGAACCCAGATGAAAGTTGCCATCCCAAGATTATACAGGTCCTACAGTGACCTTAATTAACAAAGTAGCTATAAAATCTACTATTCTACTACTAGAATAGTCAACACAAAATTTATCTTCTTGTGAAAAGATCAGGATTTAAATAATCACTGTAGTAGTAAGCTAATATTAATTGCTACTATGAAATAGAAAACACCTTTTCCAATATATATGTATTCCTGACTTTAAGAAATATCACAAAAAATATTACTTTGATTACATTCTTGAGCATTCATCATACAACGACCCACAAAGACAATGCAGGAGGTGAATAGAGATATAGTACCACGGAATACTGCTGGGTGGGTGAGACTGGCAGAAGCGGGGATGGGTAAGGGGCTGTAGAGCACTGAACAGGCTGAGAGGAGGACTGCAGAGGACGAACAGGCTGAAGAATAACAGGTTGGCAAAGAATGTTAATGTTAGAATAAAATTTTAGAAGATTGCATAAAATGGAAATATATACTTTTTGGGCAATAACTTTAACAACATTTATAAAGTCATTTAAGGTACAACAGCGCAAACAAAAACAAGAACAGATGAAACTACAAAGCAAAATTTTTGAGTACACAGCTATAATTAAAATGATTTCATAATTAAATGCTAACATTTTTGATAAAGACTGTATTACTGATTAATGGAAACAGGTAATTTTGCTTTTCAAACCATATTATCTAACCAAGAACCCTGGGCTAAGTCAGCAAAAGCAAAGCTGCTTTTCCTTGTTTTGTAGTTTTTAATGAAGGTGCTGACCAATGTAACTATGTAACATGAAATTTTAAATGAAAAACTTCATCTTATTATCGTATAGTAATAACTCACACAATATCTATACCAATTACTCTATTGAATAAAGCATGATTAAATACTCTTTTAGAACCAAAGTTCCTAAACATTAAAGAAAACTATACTGCGGGTACCACCAAGAATAACCACCTCAGGAATAACACATATATACAAATACATCTCTTTTATACAAGAAAGCCAACAATTTCCTTATACCCAAACACATTTTTATTTTTTCCAAGCATTTTTTTTTTTTTCTCCGCATGCCTTCAGGGCAGGTTTGGCTGGGTTGGGTTGTGGGTATCAAACCCCAGCAACCTGAGCCTGATTGCTTTGTTGAAGCAGCCACTTAAAGAACTGAGCTATGGGGCAGGCCCCTCCAAACATTTTTATTGAGAAGCATTTTTTTTTTTCCCCTGACTGGCTCAGGCTGCCTTAAGAACGGGTCTGGTGCAGCATGTGGAGCTGGGGATCGAACCATGGTCTACTGCACATGTCTGGGTTTGCCCAAGCAGGCGCTTTAAACAACTGAGCTAACCTGCAAGCCCCCCCCAAAAAAAAACGTTTTTATTGAAAGAATACATGTTACGAGTTGAGAAACTAGTTATTAGCTACAAACAAAATACTTTTGTGTTTTTTGGTGGTAACCAAAAACAAACGGTGTATATAATAAAAAAGCTGATTTCTAAATCTTAATACAGCTGGCCATTTTTAAGTTTAAACACTGGTTATCTCATGTAATCTCCCAATCTTTTTATTTATGTACAGTTGTACTTCAGTTCACAAACTAATTTTCTGTGATTTTGGAGGGTGGCAGTGTTTGTCACCCAATGCAGAGTTTGGAAAACTGAACTACTTACAAACAAAAGCATTAGTAAATCAGGTATTACTGTATTTGATTACAAAGGGGCTAATACAAATTACTGACTTACACACTACTGTAACCTACTTTGTAAGTAGTGTTCTGACTAAATAAACTTAAATGACCGGCAGAAAGCCAGGTAAGTACGCAGAGGAATCCAAGCAATCTTATCTCATGAAAAGCTTTCTAATTTTGGTTGAAATGCATATTCATGAATTTTGTTCTAGATAGTACCTCGGAAGGAGAGTTTCAAAATGCAAGATAAGGGGCTGGCAAGATAGCTCAGTAGTCTAAAGCGCCTGCTTAGGCAAGCAGGCAGGGACCTTGGTTCGATCCCCAGCACCATATGCCATGCCAGCCCCGCCCGAGTGGGCTGAGCTGACCATAAAAAAAGAAAAAAATAAAGGAAACATTAAAAAAAAAAAAAAAAGCTAAAAAAAACCACCCCAAAACAAAATGCAAGATAAACTAAAGGAGTAAAGACTGCTTAGAGGATAGCCTATGAAGAAATTCTGGTTTTTTTTTTTTTTTGGTTAGGGTCTGGCTAAGTAGTTCAGCTGGCTTTGAACCCACAGTGAGGCCTCTGCCTCAGCCTTTTAAGCTCTAGGATTACAGGCATGCAATCACCATGACCAGTTAATAAGCAGAAATTGTTATGACAAGGTTTAAAATGATGAGCTGCATTTTTACCACAAAATCAATATAATGGTTTCTTAAAAATGAAAAGCTCAAAACAAAATAAAAAACTCTGAAAGGATCAGATCAGTTTAGAATCCAGAAAAAAAGAAAATCTAGATTAAGTAAAAGTGTGCACAGGCACAGACACACACACACGCATAGTTAAAAAAAAAAAAAAAAAAAAAAGGAAAAGCTAAGCAATTTGTTGAGTAGTCTCTATTAAAGTTTCTTTTCTTTCTTCTTCTTTTTTTTTTTTGGCGGAACCGGGGATTGAACTCAGATCCTTGTGTTTGCCAGTCAAGCGCTTATCCTACTGAGCCATCTCCCCGGCCCCTATTAAAGTTTCTTAACTAGTGACAATGTGGATTACACCAATGAGCTGCAGTGGCTTTAGAACTCTTAAATACAGGCTACTTAACATGTTACTAAGTCAGAGAACGATTAAGACATAATCTTCTTCTGGAAAACTTGACCTCTGTAAGTCTCAGATGAAACAAAACTTGGTCTGATGTGGGATAAAAGAAAGGGTACTATGAACAATAAGAATATGAATTAATGTCTCCCTGAATGTCAAATGCTTTAGAGAAAACTTTGAGCTAAAATGACTGGCAGATCAAAGTGAAATTCTGACACCATTTAGAGAAGAAAAAGTCTTAGTACTTTCTTTACCTACTTGAATGGCAACTGGCTGTAAAACAGCATTCAACTAAAGTGATAGCTTTTTACACTGAATGTTCAAGATATGAAGCCCATCTGAAGGCTCTGGATTTTACAGCATTATTTTCTTTGTTATTTGATTCCATGAAAAAATTATCTTATAGCATGTAAATGACAGCAAAATTTGCCTATTGAGTTTGGTTGCTCACTCAAGGAGGAAATTACTTGTAATGCCTAAACACTGCCAGAAAAATGAATTATGGAGTGTGATGTATGCTTAAAAACTTTAAATTATAGCTTTCTATACAGAGGAAGCTCTCTTAGACCAAGCTGGATGAAGCTAAGGCAGAAAAGGCCAGGAGAAAGGTTTATGTAGTTTGAGACTACAGAACCAACTGAGCCTGGTAAGGCGACATGGGGTGCTCTGGAAAGTTTTAGGGAAACTTCTCTACATGTATGAATTTACCTGTATGGTCTTAACAGGGCCTCAAAAAAATTTAAGTCCTACTTAAAACAAAATAAATCAGCCTTGCTGAAGAATTTTGATTAGGAGCCTTAAGTGCCAGAAGTCAGTTATTTCATGACATTGACACTACTTGATAATATAATTAAATTGTTTATGCAATATATGTTCTTTTTTAAAAAATATTTTATTTATTTGGTACAGGGTCTTGCTACACAGTTCAGACTCGTAGGGTCCTTGCTTTTGCCAGGCAGGCACTTAGACTGCTGAACTATCTCCCCAGCCTGCAGTGTATGTTCTTTATCTCCACAATTACAAATTATATTTCTTTTGAGTAAAACTAATGAATAATGAAATTTATTCAGTTCATCAGAATGCTTCTAACCTAAATTACTCTGCATGTTCTCACTAGTTGAATATGTAGACAGTCTTACAGAGAAAAGATTTCTAACTATTTGCATGTAACTATTTCCACAAATGGTGTTTGATATGTTATACAGCCTTTAAATGTTAGAATGAAAATTAAGATGTTCATATTGATATAATCGTTTATACTGATATAATCAAGTGTTCAAAAGATGGATGACATGGGTTAAGGAAAAAAGAATGTAAAATGTAGGTGTCAACTTTAAACATTTAAAGTCAAGATATTATTAAGAGTACTTCTAGGAACTCTAACTTAGAATTTGTGTCTCACAGGGTAGATGGAATGCATGGACCATATCCTGCAGAACTTGAGCAAGTTACCTCAGTTTCTTGTTTGATCTGTTGAATCTTAAAAGAATTCACTGTGTTTACTGAGCAAAGAACAGTTTGTACTGTTCTACATTTACTTCTTTTTGCACATTTCATGTTGTAAAATAGAGATTAAAAATCATTTAAGACCATGAGATGAACCATTTCTTTTTTCCAATACATTTTCTATTCTAACTGAAAGAATTAAGGTGAGGACTTGAAATAAGCCCTTCTTTTTATGAGTTGGAAATGGGACATCATTAAAAATAGAATATTAAAATTCTAAGAGAAATGTACTTGGGCTATCTCAACTACAATGAGTGAATTTAGTCCCAAATATGCAAAAGCTGCTTGCCTGGCAAGCACAAGATCTTGAGTTCAATCCCTGGTACAGAAAAAAAAAAAAAAGGAAAAACAGGTGAAGTGAATATTCTATAACTACGGATATGGGCACCTGTGAGAAAACGTGATTAGCTGCTGGTTGCTGAGGCGGTGGGAGTTGCAGAGGTGGCTGTGGAGGTCCAGGCACTTGGGTTCTAACTGGCTGAGTCATAGGAGGATTATACACGACTGGACTCCCATCTGGGTTTATGAAGGGCTGACCTGAAAAATTCAAAAAGGAAAACAGTAACAACTTACAACAAACTGAAAATAACTCATTTGACTAACAATTTTACACAACATACCCACATATGCCTGACCATCACTTTCAAAACTCCCAATGCTGTTTAAAACTGGAGTTTTTTAGCTTGTGAAACAGACAAACCTGCTTGAAGCTACTAACAGTCTTTGTTTTTCCCAATTAATGTAAACATTTAAATGTTTTACTACTGTGTTTTATGATAGGGTGCTATCTTAGACCATTCTAGAGTTGTTTTTTTTTAAACAAGGAATTGAATGCAGGACCTCATTCTTGCCAGACAGTTGGTGTGCCACTAAGCTATGTACCTGGCCTCTCTGGATATACTTATTTAAAATTTTATGTATGTATTTGGTTGTTGCAGGATCTCACTATGTACCTTGGACTCATGCTGATCCTCCTGCTTTCAGCCGCCCCAGCACTAGGATTACAAGCATACACCACTATGCCTAAGTAGCCTGCCCTGGAGGTGGGGCTGGCATAGCATGTGGTATAGGGGATCAAACCGGTCCCTGTGCTTGCCTAAGCAAGCACTTTAGACAGCTGAGCTATCTTGCCAGCCCCCTGTGGATGTATTCTATACTACACTTTTTTTTTTTTTTTAAGGCAAGGTCTCACTACAAAGTGCAGGCTGGCCTTGAACTCCCTTATGTAGCCCAGGCTGGCCTCAAACTGATGGTAATCCTCTTGCCTCAGCCTCCTAAATGCTGGGATTACAGGCATGTGTCACCATTCCTGACTTTTCACAATCTTTTCTAAAAAAAATCTGAATTGTTAAACATATCTTGCTCAAAGGATTTAGGTACAGGACTATGGTCCTGCATAGCTACAACACATTTCAATTTAAAGAGAAAAATGTCTGATTTCAGGACAGTAGAAAATTATTCATTAGTTTTTATTACAGGTTGGGAATTATGTAATTTATAGGTCTCAATGCATATTTCTTTTTTAAAAAATTAATTATTTGGTACTGGGACTCACTACGCATCTTGAACTCAGCAATCTTCCTGTTTTAGCTTCCCCAGCACTGGGATTACATGCATTTGCCACCAGGTCCAGTTTGGCGTCGGGACAGAGCGCCTGGGGTTCCAGGGCCAGCAGAGCATGGCATGCAGTACTAGGGATCAAATACAGGTCCTTGTGCTTGCCAGGTAGGTGCTCAGACTGCTGAGATAGCTCTCCAGGCACGTAATGGATATATTTCATTAAAAAGTTAATATAAGATGAAAAAAAAAAGATGAAAACAAAAATGATCGACAGCTTAACAAAATTGTGAGATCAACTGTTTAACAATTTTTTTTTAAAAGATTTTTATTTTATTTGTTTATTTATTTATTTATTTTGTGTGTGTGTGGCCAGCTCAGCCCACCAGGGGGCGGGGCTGGCTGGCATGTGGTGCTGGGGGATTGAACCGTGGTCCCTTTGTTTTTGCTAAGCTTGTTGTAAGTAGGTGCTTTAGACCACTGAGCCATCTCACCAGCCCCAGCAATTTTTGTTAATAGTTTTAATTAAGTTTTAGCTGCAAACAATAATCTAAAATAATTTCTTTTTTTTTTTTTTTTTTTTTTGCGGAACCGGGGATTGAACTCAGACCCTTGCGCTTGCCAGGGAAGCACTTATTCCACTGAGCCATCTCCCTGGCCACCTCGGATTTTTTTTTTTAAGCTTTCTTACTGCATACTGATTACAGCAGTGGTAAAAGAGATAAGTATTATAAAATAAGTGCAATATTTTATAAATAAGCAATAGAGACAAAAATCATTTCTAATTTTAGTTAAAATATTAATTTTTTGATACTCTTAAAATGAAGGATTAAACAAAGATTAGCATTTTTTATTATATATTACTACTATGAAAAAAATTCTGTGAAGCAAACTTTTCGCTGAGTTTGATACTCATCTAGAGTATGAAAAATATAGAGTAAATGAAATCTGACTAAACAATATTTTAAAATTTTCTTTCCAAGTATCCATTCTTCCATGGCAAATTATTCTCAATTGCATTTATTTATTTTTTACAACAATATTTAAGGGACATAATGAGGTAAGATTTGGGAAGAGAAGATTGCATAAATTTATTGCTATCAAGAAAAAAAAGTAGGTAAATTACTTTCATCAGTCAGCATTCTAACAATCAATTGCTACAGACAATTAAAAACAAGTCATACTAGGTATTTTGAGTGTTAAATAATTTGGTAAAAAAAATTAGTAAATCAGATTTGGGTGAAAGCATTGAGTTTGAGGCCGCGCCTGGCTATATAAATGATTTTAAGGTTAGTTTTGCATTATATAGTGAGACTATTTCTAAAAAAAAAAAATGGTTAAAGTAATTTAACTAAAGACTATAAAAAAAGTTGGATACGTTGTAGCACTGTTCTCAAAAACTAGTAAGATAACTTTTGGACTCATTTAAAATACAATTCCATTACAGAATGATCAGTTTTCCATTCTGTTTCTTCATAGGAGAATTTAGTCTTTTGTCTTATTGCTAAGAAATTAACTGTTATTTGTTGGCCATTATTTAGTAGCTTAAAATATGTCACAAGGGAAAAATATATTTTGATATAGACGACTTTTAACATTTTTGAGTGTATAGGATTTTGTTAAAGTTCTTTTTTTAAAAAATGTATTTTAGTACAGGGTCTACAGGGTCTTCCTACACAAATGGGACTCTCGTAGTGATCTTATTTTCAGCCTCCCAAGTGCTGGCATTACAGGCACGCACCTCCATGTCCAGTCTCAGTTGCTATTTCAGCACACCGAACCCTGGTCCCTGCGTCTGCATAAGCAGGTGCTTTAACCCATGGAGCTATCTGGTCGGCCCCTGATTTTGTTGAAGTTCTTAAGAAAATGTCATTCATGAAAAATTAAAAGCTAACAACATATGTACAAATAATGCATCAAAACGTTACCATTTAATTTTTATACCATTTTTTTTTTTTTTGCTTGCTCTTTTTGAGTTAAGGTCTTGCTATGCAGTTCAGGCTGGCCTTGAGCTCACTTGGTAGCCGAGACTGGTCTTGAACTTGCAACGATGCTCCTTCCTCCGCCTGAGTGCTGGTTTTATAGGCGTGCACCACCATGCCTGGCTTTTTACATCATTCTTTATATCTCAACTGAAATAAAAACTTTTTTTTTTGGATACCAACCTGTTTGTGGGTTGATCAGAATACTGCCGGGTGGTATGCCTGCCGCTTTCAAAGGAAGCAAAAAGAAGCTAGTGCTAGGAGATGCGACTTGCCCATTTAGGCCACCATCGAAGGAAAGGGAACTATGAGTGCTGACAGCTGGATAGACGACAGGTGCTCCATGAGAAGACTGGCTGAGAGCTGCACCTGGAATAGGCTGCTGGATGTGAGAAAGAGAGCCAGTAGAAGACCCTACACTACCAGAAGACTCAGAACCTAGGAAAAAAGTAATGACAAATGTGGATTTTTAAAACCTTATGTAAAAATACAGGTTTAAAATATAACAATAAATTTACATTGCACAACATGCAGTTACTATATAAAAGAAACTACTCTTTCTGATTTACTGTCCAATTTTGCTTATCCTCAACATGGACAACTTTAATATAGCAAACTGATCACATAACTGTCAAAAGAAGTCAAAGCCAAAGCATGTAACTTAAGCAAATTTATAATAAAACAGTTACAGACAGCCACAAAAAGCACATTTCTCTCATTCCCAAAAGTACAAGTTACATATATATTTTACCTTTCAGATTAACGCCTAGGATTATCCAGATTACAACATTCCCCCCAGGAAAAATAATTCAGCATGGTATGTATCTAAAACCTTTTATATCAGAAATCCCTCATCTATAAGAACACAGAAAGATTAAGAATAGCGCAGCAAATAACAGAAATGATAAATTCTCTATTAAGAGAAAAAAGTCATCATTTCTTTGAGAAGTTTCATTTCTCAGCTGAGTCACAGCAAGCACCTTCCCACAAGGTACACTCAAGTTGCAATTTTTAAAATCAAGTAACAGAAACCTGGAAAATATTCCTAGTATTTATATTACCATCAATTTAAATTTATTTTTCACTACATAAACTACTTTGGTAACTGAATTGTGACTTCTATGCCAATAATTTCTTTAACTTTTATTATATGGAGACTGAAAATGCCACTGACTTTTGGATAACAGCTAAACGAGGACAATGAGACAATAGAAGAATGGAAAATACTTGGATAATGCATATAGTTAATTGGGTTTTGAAGAAGAGAGTGGATAAGTTTTGGTTTTTTGAGATGGGGTCTTGCAGGCCTGCTATGCAATTTAGGCTGGCCTGGAACTCATGGTGATTCTCCTGCATTATCTATTGAATTGCTGGGATGATAGGTGTGTGCCATTATGCCTGATAGTAGGATGGAGAGTTTATAAGGAATGAAATAAATAATTATGATATACTATACAGATTGCCTTCGGAAAGGCAACTTCTATTTTAAAATGTGTCAAAATGATTCTTCACAAGAACTCAAAAAAATTCTATCACTTGACCCTAAGACTATTTTTTTTTTTTTTTTTACCAGAAAGTAAGTCTGTATCAAATATAACAGGGATGTTAACCCTGAGAGGCTTAATTTTTAATTGCACCAAGTAAACTTAATCAGTAAAGTACTTTTTAATTTATTCCCTCCTAAAACTGATGGAGCTTTTCTTTTCCACAACTGGAAACCATAGTTTCACAGTAGTTCTCCTTTTGAAGGACTTTCAACTGATGACTAAACTGCTTTGGAGATATTTTCAAACTCATTTTCCCAAATGAAAAATAATTTGGACAAATTACATACTGCATAGATTTCCCTACAGACTCTCGTATTTTCATTTCTTTCTTTTTTTTTTTTTTTTTTTGAAACAGCCTCACTCAATAATTTAGGCTGGCTTTAAATTCAGTATGTAGCCCCAACTAGCCTCAAATTCAGTGATCCTCCTACCTCAGCCTACCAAGTGCTAGGATTACAGGCATGTTACCACACCAGGCTCCAGATTTTCTTTTTTAGATCTAAATGCAAATTATCATGTAGTATAATTTTAATATCTGTGCCACAGTAAAAACCATCTATCCTGATGGATTTATCCTGTTATCTTCTAGTTTAGTACTGACTTATCTCGAAGAATATTTTTACTTTTTGTCAAAATAACCAACTCAACATTGGACATTAATCTTTTTGTTTTTCCTGTCTTTTTGAGACAGGGTCTCACTATGCAGCTCAGGCCGGCCTTGAGTTCACTTTATATCCCCGGTTGGTCTTGAACTTAAAACAATCCTGCCTCAGTCTCCTGAGTGCTGGGATCACAGGCGTGCACCATCACGCCTGCTTAACATTGGACATTACTCTTTATTTACTCAAAGGTGTATATATGAATTAGTAGAGCCCAGGTTCTACCCCTTTAACATCTTCTCTTAAGTGGGTAGAATTATTTAATACCAGTTGGAAGGACAATTACAAATTGTCCTTTACAAATACTAAGAATTTAGATCAAGTCACTGAAAAGTGTGGAAAAATACATTGTATAATGATAGGGAATCTACACATTCAATTCAAACTTGAATATTTTTCTTCTATCTTTAAATAACACGTACTTAATTGTGAGGCAGCTATTTGGTTTTCATTAACCATATTTAGGGATACAGTCATAGGACTGCTTAGATAGTTCAGCTTAAATAGTTACAAAAATACAGGTGGTGTTGTCTTACAAAATTCAATCATATATCAAAATCTATTTTTTCAAAATCTATTTTTCTATCTTGAAAGTTTTTCAAAAAGGCTAAATTCTTCATGCTAATTATTCTTTCTATAACTCAATCATTCTTTTCTTGGCAAGAGCAAGCTGAAATGTATCCATGAAGGTAAAGTTGCTTAATGTTGAACACATTTATTTTATTTATTTATTCATTTTATTTATTTAATTTATGTGTGTGTGTGGCCAGCTCAGCCCACCAGGGGGCGGGGCTGGCTGGCATGTGGTGCTGGGGGATTGAACCCTCGTCCTTGTGGTTTGTTAAGCTTGTTCTAAGTAGGTGCTTTAGACCACTGAGCCATCTCACCAGCCCGAACACATTTATTTTAAACTAGAATTTGATTAAGAAACTGTTATCATGGAGGTATTATTATTATTATTTTTTTCTTTTTTGGTATTGGAAATCAAACTCAGGACCTTGTGTTTGCCAAGCAGGAGCTCGTGCCACTGAACTATAGCCCCAGATCAAGAAACTAGTATCAAAGAACCAGCATGCTCTTTTATACATTTTCACTAAGATTAGTATTCTATAGACTCATTCACTGATCACTTCCTTTTTAAAATTTTTGTCACTCATTATTGCCAACTTTATATTTTAAAATGAAAATTTAGGATTATCAAATGTGTATAAACATTCTGTAATTTTACCATGTAGCTTATTTGGAAATGAGACTTTCAGATGAATATTATAAACCAAACTTCCCTTGAAAGTCAAAGGACAGAAAACACAAACTTTGTGCACTGCTTTCAAGTCTACAAGAACATTTCTTGAGTCACCAATGATAAACTAAAAACTGCAAATAATGGAGTTTGAACAACAGGCAGAAAACATGAGTATTTCAGAGGTCTTATCTTATGAGTTATCAATCTATCAGTCACTCTCTGTTTGCAGAATGTGAGCTGGTGACATTAAATATTTTTTAATAACCGAACTGCAGATAATGGCCTTTAACTAACTTATAAGAATTTTACTGCAATTAAGTTTTTTTCCCTGTCCTTTTCTGTCAGTAAGCCCAACAATACTATGATTAGTCTAACTGTAAAAGTGAAGTTGATGTCCTCACAGGTTAGCATCCCTAAACAAATCTGAAGCAGGTGTTTCTCTCTTGGATATATCGTAAAATACACAAAGGAAACCTTAGGTGGACTTGTGGCACAATAAATGCATTTAATGACAACTAATTTTTAAAAATGTGGCCAGTGAGTAGTTGATTATACATGACAGAATACAGTATTTTTTTTGAGATTAATTTAGTTATGATATTGCTTATCTATTGGTGCATACCCCAGATTTGCTGATAGTTTGTTCCAACAATATTGAGCTTAAGGGTAACAGGAATTGTTAAACAAATTGCTTCCATTCTTGGGAAAGGTGGAACCATAAATATGATTGTAATCTGAAAATTTTTAAAGAAACATCTTTCCCTATTAAAAGAAAGATTATACAGTATTTTCATCTCAAAAGATAGTATAGGCTATAAATAGTTCATGTTCTTAAAATATTCTAATTTGGCAGTATGATTAAATGACTTTCTTGGGGCCAGGGAGATGGCTCAGTAGAATAAGCGCTTCCCTGGCAAGCACAAGGACCTGAGTTCAATCCCCGGTTCCGGGAAAAAAAATAAGCAATGAGAAGGAAATTACTTCAAATATCAATATCCAGAATAGTACATATGAATAAGACTGTAAAAAAAAAAAAAAAAAAAGACTTTTTCATTGTAAAGGAATTTTTTTTGTTTTTTGCAGTTTGGATATTAAAAAATATTTAATGTCACCAGCTCACATTCTATAAATAGGGAGTGACTAATAGGTTGATAACTTGTAAGATGAGACATCTGAAATACTTGGGGCCAGGGAGATAGCTCAGTAGAATAAGTGCTTCCAAGCACCTGATTTTTTTTTTTTTGGTTCCGCAAAAAAAAAAAAAAAAAAAAAAAAAAAAGAAAGAAAGAAAGAAAAAGAAGTATTTGTGTTTTCTGCCTATTGTCCAATCTCCATTCTTTGCAGTTAGCTTTTTTTTTTGTTATGAGCTAATTAGCCCTTTTTCAAATGAATGCTTATTATTATTTTTTTAAAATTTATTTGTGTGTGTGTGTGTGGCCAGCTCAGCCCACCAGGGGGTGGGGCTGGCTGGCATGTGGTGCTGAGGAATTGAACCGTAGTCCGTGCTTTGCTAAGCTTGTTCCAAGTAGGTGCTTTAGACCACTGAGCCATCTCACCAGCCCCCGTCAAATGAATGCTTATATGGTACACATACAGGTTTTGTTGTATTGTGCATTAAAACTACGGTTACTCTACAACTGAGCTAATTTTCCAGCCCAGATAGGGACTTTAAGTTAAATTGCTCAGACGGGCCTCAAGCTTGCAATCTTCCTGCCTAAGCCTCTCCAGTGGCTGGAATTATAGATGTCTGTAACTATGGCCATCTTATACAGAGATTTTAATTAATTAATTAATTAATTAATTAATTTATATCTGTCTGTCTGCCTGCCTGCCTGCCTGCCTGTCTGTCTGTCGGCCTGTCTCTTGGCTACTAGGTAATTTTTTTTGGTACTGGAGAATCAAACTCAGGACCTTGCATTGGCAGGCGCTTACACCGCTGAGCTATCTGCCCAGCACTCATGCAGAGCTGTTTTTTTTTTTTTTTTTTTTTTTTAATTTTAAGGAAGGATCTATAGGGTGTTTAGGTTCTCACTACTAGATTGGACTTATATGATCCACCTGTTTACAGCCTCCCAAGAGCTGGGATTACAGGTACACACCACCACGCCCAGTCTCAAACGCCATCTCAGTGCACCCTGGGGGTGGGACCCGTATGGCAGGCCCAGGGATTAAACCCCTGGCCCCTGTGTCATCTGCTTGTAGGTGCTGTAATCCACTGAGCTATTTGGCCGGCCCTGCACAGAGCTTTTAATGTTCAAAAAATTTACCTATTATTAGCAATGTCCAACATAATCACTAAAATATTCCCAGTATGTACATTTAAACAATATAAGCCTTAACAATTTAAAGCACTTAAGTCTTGCCTGCATGATTACTTTAAAAATAATCATCCTAATTGCATATTTATCTAAATAATCATCCTAATTTCATAAGAGGGCTAAAAGACATCAACTTAAAAACTTTTTTTAAATTTGGTATTGGGGGGGCCTGGCCCTAGCTCAGGCCTTTAAGTGGCTGCTTCCACAAAGCTGTCAGCCTCAGGTTGCTGCAGTTCGAACCTCACAACTCGCCCGCTGGCCAAAAGTGCCCTGAAGGCGTTCAAGGAACAAAAAAAAAAAAAAAAAAAAAAAAAAAATTTGGTACTGGGCTGGCCAGATAGCTCAGTGGACTAAAATGCCTGCTTAGGCTGAGCATAGTAGCAGAGGTTCAATTCCCCTATATGCCATGCCGGTCTTGCCCTCGGGGCACACTGAGACAGCAATTGAGACTGGGTGTGGTGGCATGTGCCTTTAATCCTAGCAATTGGGAGGCTGAAAAACAGGAGAATCACTATGAGTTTGACTGACGCTGTGCAATCCTATAGACCCTGTACTAAATAAAAGAAAAAAATAAATTAACGTTTGAAACAAAAAATAAATAAAAATTGGTAGAGTCTTGCTATGCAGCTTAGACTTGCAGTGACCTTCCTGTCTCAGCCTCCTCAGCGCTGAGATTATAAGTGTGCGCCACCATACGCGGTTTCAGTGGCTGTTATGGGGTGGGGCCAGCATGGCATGCAGTACCAGGGATGGAACCTGGGTCCTTGAGCTTGCCACGCAGGCACTTACACTGCTGAGCTCCCCAGTCCTTTTCTTCAGTTTTTAATTCCTTACAAATTTCTTGGCAATTTTATTCCTTTTTGGATAGGGAAACAAAGGACTTTATTATGACATTGCAATAAATAATTGATAGAACTGGCTAAAAATGTGACAAATATTAAATATTCCCAGGTGAGAAGCCACGCTTTCCTATCATAGATACGTAAGAGAGAATTTTCAATTATCTCTGGGCTTTCAAAGTAAGGATGAAGTCACTTGATCTATCTGATTAAATTTATGTCACTTCAGAGAAGAGATTTTATTTTAACTGATGGTTATAAGTCTATCTCCAGGACAGAGAATGTGCCTTAGCATCAGGAAAGATTTACCCTTTATTGACTTTGGAGGGAGTCAATATACTGTAAGTAGGAATTTTATGTTTCAGAGTAACATGATAAAGTCACATAATAACAATCTAAAGCAACAATAAACAGACCACTTTTATTGCACAGTTCTATGTTCTAGGTAGGTAGATATTTGTACCTGTTTTAGAAAGCCTGCCTATGCTTTTGCTGCTTCCAGAACTATCACCTCTTGTCAGGACTGAGATTCCACTAAAGCTGCTGGCTTTGGTTACAGCAGGCTTCAAATTTCTCAGGGAGCTATCTGAATCTGTGCTGCTCCACGGTCGAGGTTCAGAATATTTCAACTCATTCTCAGTGCTGCTTTGATGACTATTTGTTGATCTTCCTGAAGCATCTTTATTAACTCTGTAATCCAGAAATAAAAGTTTGAAAAGCCAACAGCAGGAAAAGAGGCAACAACAAAAAAAATGCTTTAATTTTTCAGTACTGCATTGAAAACATGCTTCTAATACCTAAATATCTGGCGCCTCTGCTGGGTACTACTAGCATCCTCATCTTGGATTCTGTTGGCATTTTAATGAGATATTTTAATTTTTATTAGCATCAGTCAGCAGTTACCAAAATAGTTGTTAAAAATTCCCTCACCTTTTATCAATAATATAATTCTCTTGAGAACACAGGGACTAGAAAGAAAGAAGAGATATAAAAAGTTGAGTTTTTTCAAATACATAATGCCATCTGCAAATAAACGATAATGATAACAAAATTCCTATATAGGAATATTTAGAAAACATCTCCTATCCTCAAAAAGGTTCATAATGGTGATAATGGTCCAAAAATGAATGACAATAAAAATTTTTATGACTTGGAGATGTTTACTTGTACAAATATATATCTGGAAGTCATTCATTTTGTTTTTGAAATTCACATATTCTTTTAGAAACAAGTGAATTTATTCTCATAATCATATATTTAAGGTGTGTAGCAATTTGTAGATATGCCTCATTTCCTTAACCAATATGTGAGTTTTGTATTAAATATGATATCACTGGCCAGGGCTCTGGCTGTGGAGATAGAGGTAAACAGCATCCGTGCCTTAATTGAGCTTACAGTCAAGTACCTTCTGAGTTATGAACCTCAGGCAGGCAAAGATCATTTTGTTTATATTACTATTTAGTCTTTAACACTTTTTCAACTACCATTTTTTTGTCCTTTATAGTTATTTCATACAACAGAAGCCAAAGAAGTCTCTTAAATGTCAGTGATTGTGCTTCTCCTGTCTTTCGTGGCTCCCTGTTATCAAGCGGCCAACAAAGTACGGCTAAACCGACTGTTTCAGCAAATAAAGTTTGATTGTAACACAGCCATAACCACATATTTATTCATTGTATATGCTGCTGTCACAGAGAAAGTCTCACTGAGATGATAAAGACACATGGTTGAAAAATGCATAAAATATTTTACTATATGGCTCTACACTGAAGTATTTGCTGACCAAAACATGCCTGAAGCCCAACTCCCTTAAACAGTAAGGACCAAGTCATCCAGTTCTTAACAATTTCTCCTAAACTTGCCTTACATCCTATGCTAGCCAAGGTATAATCTGGCAATTATGAATCTTTCATTTGTCAAGCTCTTCCCTATCCCTGGGCCTGTGCAAATACCAAGTCTCTACTTGGAATGCTTTACTCTGCAGGGCTCCTCTTGCAAGGTAACCCTTACGCGTCTCTTCAATTCTTGTTTATTGTGCTTCTCTGGTATATTTCATAGTACACAGGGCTTTTCTGCTACATATACTATTACAAACTTCACATGTCCACATTATATTGCCATTTCTTGACTATCAAACCTAGAAGCCTGTCCGCATCTCGTACAGCAATTAATCACTAGGAAGAATGTACGCAATGTGTTATTGAAACTGTCTCATTGCTATTTGTTTCTCAATAAAATTATCGGAAACAAACAAACAAACAAAAAACACCTAGAAGCCTGATCTATAAACTAGTAAGGAAAAAAATGTATCTAGGATGGGCTCTGAGTTTACCATAATGGCTGTTGAAATCTTAACTTTGCCTTTTTCTACCTGTGTGAACTCTATTTTGCTTAGCCTCTTAGTGCCTCAGTTTCTTCATCTACAAAATAAAAACAATAATAGTATTGATCACATATGATTGTTTGGTGAATCTGAACTCTTTACAGACACATTGTTTAGTGTCCAGTGTAGCATTTACCATAAGTATTCAATAAGATTTGTTGGATATTATAAATTCTCAATTGGTGGTCTGAATTTAGGTTTTTTTTGTTTTTTTGACACAGAGAAAATTTCTTTGTAGCAGTGTTAACACATATTATATATATTCAAATATCCTTACAAAGTACTGGGGTGCTTAACAAACAGAGGTGCAAAATCGAGGTACTTAACAAGTGTTGGCAAAACAATTGTATTTTCTCCTGGCAAATATCCCTAACATCATTAGTCATGTAGAGGCTATCTCTCATATAATCACTCAGAAAGTTGAAAATAACTATTAATATAAAAATCAATTTTTTTTTACAGAATCAATTTATTTAAAAAAGATATAATTTATCAAGGAAGTCCAGTATGATAAAAAAAAAGTAGAATTTAGAACATATTATTTGTTGGTAAGCACCAATGCTCTAAAAATCATGGGTCTTTTATTTATTTATTTTTTTAATTGAAATTATGTATTAATGTTTTATTATTTGACCAATCTTTCATACCTGTATCTATTAATCTGAACAACAGATTTGACAATGAAAATATGTAATACAACAACCACTGATTCTTATAGATAATACCAGTTTGCTCAGATTTTTCAGTATGCTTTTGTAACATACACCACAAAAGTCCAGTTCTGATATGCTTATGTTGTCCCCTGCTCTTTTTTTTAATTTTTTTTATTTTTAGGGAAGGGTCTACAGGGTGTTCAGGGTCTCACTACTAGATCAGACTCATCGTGAACCTCCTGTTTATAGCCTCCCAAGAGTTGGGATTACAGGTGCACACCACCATGCCTACTCTCAAGTGCCATCTCAGTGTGCCCCAGGGGTGGGGCTGGCATGGCAGGCTCTGGGATCGAACCCCTGGCCCCTGTGCCTGTTTGCAGGAGCTTTAACCCACTGAGCTATTTGGCTGGCCTTCCTTTTTTGTTTTCAAAATTTTTAAAAAATGTATTTGGTTGTTTATGGGTCTTTTAGAAGTATGAAAAAAAATTATGCAACCATACACAGCACAGTATTCTTTTAATAACTCCTATAGCCCATCTGCTTTTAACTTCTACAAAATTTCACATTACTCCTATAATGTAGCATTCCTTCAATTATTGACATGAATAAGATATCTCAATATTTCTAACAGGTGACCTTATGCTGACAGGTATGGCTAAAAATAAATCAGATCAACAGATTAAAAGGGTAACTGAGGCCCTACAATGCAACTAGAAAGTATCCTAAAAAGAAGTCCCAAACACAAGTTATTACATACATCTTGTGAAAATATTCGGTCTCTAGCTCTCTGGTATTCTTCTTCCCTTTCTTCTATAGATTTACTTCTTCTATCATCTTTCAATCGTATTCTCATCTGAAAAAAAGAAAATTAATTCTTGGGAAAATGCTGTAAGTTTTGCATCTTTAAAAACGTTGTATTTGCTCTTCATTACCTGGTTATCATCTTTGTCAAAGCTAGAGTTATCTCTCTTGAGGATATATCGCTTCTGAAAATCTTCACCTCTATCATCTTTAATATGTTCATTAAATTTCTGATCAGGTCTACAAAACAAACAAAAAGATAATGCATAACATTTCCAGAAAAGTTAAAAACAGTATCTTACAAAAAGTGATAAATGTTGTGTATTAATGCTACTGTGAGACACTTATGTTATCTCATCTAATGCTTCCTGAAATCTCATAGGACACTAATCTCACTTTTTTTTTCTTTTTTACACACAGTCTCACTATGCAGTTCAGGCTGACCTTGAGCTTACTTTGTAGCCCAGGATGGTCTTGAACTTGCAAGGATCCTCCTGCCTCAACCTCCCCAACACTGGGATTACAATAATTCTGCATTATGGTTGAAAGGCCATTAAGAAAAAAACAAACAACAATATGGGATCTAGAATCAGGTCTACGTGGGTCCAAACAGCAAACTTAACCACTGCAGTGGTTTTAGGACTTGTACAAGTTACTCAACCTTCCTATTCTTTAGCTTTCTCATCTGTAAAAGAGGAAATCATAGTGTATGTAATTCACGATGGAATATAGGAATAGTACTTAAAATGGTAAACACTCGGCAGAAATTGTTGTTATATAATTGAGTGAACTGAAGTTGAAATGGCTTGCAAGGTCAGAGGGTGATGAACATGACTGACTTATAGTTCAAGTCCAGATCTGTTAGACTTGAAGTCTACATAACCTATGTGTACTGCTTCCTCTCAATATTCTTAAAAATGCTGGGACAAAGAAGAAAGCACAGCACTGTACCATACACGTTACACTTCTATAAACACTTAAAATTTAAAAAAAAAATCTTTATTTTTTAAAAAAAATTTTAGTAAACAATTTGCTTTATGGTAAATTCCTTTGAATGTTTGTGTTGTAGGCTAAAGTAATAACTGAGAGATCTTAGAAACATTGGTTTTATATCAGATTGGTCTTTTCAGGTCATAGTTATTGAAAGTTCCAACGAGACCTGGCACATATACGATCTGGCCTGAGTAAAATTACAATAACATTGAATTTCTGCTCTCAAAATACATTTTTACTTCCAACAAATAATTAATAATAATTAATTCAGCCAACATACTATTACTTAAGGTAATTCTATTACAATGCTTGAATTATTCCAATGAAATGCATAATATATAAATTAATATCTATAAAGAAAATATAACTAAATCCCACATTAATTATAAAATTATAATTCAAATACAGGCACATAGTTCATGTAAAAACTTTATAAAACCAATGAACATTTTTGGCAAACTAAGTCCAGATATTTCATTATATAAAGGACCCAAGTAACACTCCTTTAACCTAATGATTTTTCAAAAAAGTATTGTAATTGACTCCTGAAAAGTATGCAAAAAGTGACTGATTTTAAAATGCAAACTATGTGAGCAAGCAAAAGAAATCTCTGTTATAAAGTAGAGTTGGATGAGTAAAACAGTTGGGATCTACATACGCTATATAGAAAGGTAAAGGAGAACAAGACCACAAAACAGCTTCATAACCAAAAAGATGAGAAGACTGCTCTCTCTCTGTGGAGGTTTGAAATACCTATTTAACTCTAACAATAGCAGTATGTCATTTTTGTCACATGACATTTATTCACGTATATCATCTATTTGTGTAGGTGTCCAAAGTCACATTTGCTTAGCCAAAGGATTTGTACTTTGGTGAGAGAGTGCTACTCCAAAGTGAACTCTAAGGTTTAACCAATGGCCTGGCAACCTTTCTAAGAGCAGCTGGATTCCCACAGCAATAGCACTGGCAGGCATTTCAGCTAACCTTAAGACTGTCTTACCTCTTTCTTTTATAGATGCCTGAATTTACTGCCCTGCAATCGCCAACTTCCCGCTCCATTGAGACACCCCAGTGGACACTGGGCTGTTGACATCCACAACACCACTGGTTGAAGCCTGGAGCGGGTAGTCTCCCTATGAGGAAAAGTAAGTTTGTTTTTATTCAATGTGGAGCAGATCTCTAAGGTTTTCTGATTTACAACCTTCTTCATATCCCAGAAGATATAAAATAAGAATACAGTGTAACTTCAGTGATCTGAAATGTTCAATTATGATATTAACCCATAATTCTCTTAGGTATATTATAAATACCTTTGTTTGGCTAAACTCTTGATTACTTCGAAAAAGAGAATTCTAGAGCTTTCTGATATTACTTGTTGAATTCAAATAACTGAGGTTACACTGTATTGAAAACCTTAGAGTCATCAGTCAAAATGTTAGTCAAAATGCCTGCTAATGTACATGTGCTTGAGTCTCCAGCAGCTCTGAGTAATGTTGAAAGGTACTGGTTAAATGAATTACAGTTCTATTAACTGTCAATACAGTTCATATTCTGAGTTATGTAACTAATCGGGAAAAGTGATTAAGATATTTTTAAAAGATTAAGATGATAAATCAGATTCACATTTTTAGGTGGAAAATCTCCCTAAAAAAGATTTTATTCCCAAGAAAACTTTTTACTAATTTTAGTTGTGTGAATAAACATTTAAGAATACTAAATTCACCTTCTTAGTAGACTAGTTGAAATGGAAGAAAACTAATTTAGTTTCAGTAAACAATATAGCAGCTATAAAGATGAAGGCCATTATAAGGATTTTTTTTGGCAGGCTCAGGCTGCCTTAATGGCAGGTGTGTTGTGGATGTGAAGCTGGGGATCAAATAGCTGTCCCACAAGCCTTACTGGGTTTGCCCAGGCAGGCACTTAAACAACTAAGCTAACCGGCAAGCTCCTCTAAAGGCCATTATAAAGGAAAAGATATAGAGAAATTAAATACAATCACACAAATTAGGTAGCTCAGACAAGACCCTGAAAGAAGTCTAAAGTCGTGCAGGAAGTGCAGAAAAATAATAGAATGAAGAGAATTATTTATGGCATCTGAAACTGCTAGAGAAAATCCTTCTGACAGGTAAATTACCATGAAAACCTAAAATTTTAGGTGCGCTCAAATGGTTGTTTCAGGATTAGCTTTACAGACACAAGAAGTGCTACACATGTGTTATAACTTGGATGGCTCTGCAGGCCTTCTGCTCCCAAATATAAATTCTAATGAATTACATCAACACTATAAGCAATTACTTTTTAAAGAAAAAAGATCATTTTTCTTTTGAAATTTTAAAAACTTTGTCATTACCTTACATATAACACAGAAAAAAACATGGTTAGTTCTGCTTAATTCTGTATTAACCAACAGTCTCAGCTTCCTAAGATTTGTGGGAGAAAAGACGCAAAATGGGCTTTCAAAAAGAACAATAAAAAAAAAAAAGGACAATAAAGCAGAAGATTAGATTTGAGGTGTCAAAGAGAAATTCCGCTCATTAAAATAAAAAACCAAAAAACAAATTTACCCAGGGATGGTCATAATTATCTGAACTGTATTCAATTAAAAAAAAAAAAATCCACTATGGGACAGTGTTTGTCAATCATTGCTGTTACAGTAATCTGATGGTTTTTGTTCATGTGTTGTTTTTAAAAAAACAAAGACCTCAGACTTAATCTTCCTTATTTGAGTACAGGCTAATGCATTTTGTTCCTAAAGAACTACCTGTATTTTTTGGCCTAGTCCATTAAGTTACCCTCAAGTTTACTTAAGACAGGTAAAATATATGGAAAACCTAAGATGAAACCTAAGATGAAACAGGAAGTTAAATATTAGTATACATATATGTAACTGCATATCTATATTTCTTGACACTTACATTCTTGTATTGCTAGTTTTGTTTACTATGACAGATTTTCCACTCTGATCAACATTGTGGTCTAATCCAAAGTAAGCAGCTACTCTGTGTAATAGCATCCTGTGGTAAGATGTCATTGGGGGGAATTTTTTACGTGGAGACCTAAAAGTAGAAGAAAATCCAATTTAGTAAGTCAAGGAGAACTGTGACGACAATTTCTTTTCTTATTAAATGTCAGGACTTACTCATTATTACCAATGAAATCTAAAATTTCTTGCTCCAATTTCAGCAGCATCATTCTGTCCCTGAAACAAAGTATGAAGACTCTTATATATAAAACTTAATACTGAAGTAAGCATAAACATCAATAGCTTATAAATGTATACACTTAATTTTCTGAAAACTATACACTCAGAACTATCATAAGCTTGATGCTAACTTACATCTTGTATTGCTAGTTTTGTCTACCATGACAGATTTTCATAGTAAAATCTGTCATAAAATTGTCATAAAAATTGTCATAAAAAAGTCATATACACGTCTTGGGTTATGAAAGGAAAGAGATATTTTCAGTTTAACTTTCGATGAGAAAAGTTCCACAATACACTAATCTAGAAGAATACTGAAATGTACTTACCCAAAATTTAAAAATTAAAATTTAAATTTAATTTAAAATCTTTTTCTTGTGTGTATGTGGTACTGGAGATTGAATCCAGAGCCACTCTACCACTGACCTACATTCTCTCTTTATTTCAAGATAGGGCCTCTAACCTCAAACTTGCAAAATTTTTGCCTCAGCTTGCCAAACTGATGGGATTATAAACATGTGCCATCATGCTTGGCAATATATGGCCATTCTTAAATAAATACTGATCTGCTAAGTATTACTATATTGGAGTTTCACTCTCTATATTGACAACAAGAGTATACGAGTTTTTACATCCCCATTCACAAACCTGAAAGACAGCAGGAAAAGAAATCTGTAATTAGGCTCATGACTTTGTTATCATGCTAAACTCCATGGAAACTGTAC